ACCAAATGTGGGGAGTGTGGTGATTCCCATGGGGAATCCCCTTTAAGACAAGTTTCTAAAGGAAGAGAAGTATCCAGTGGGGAATAGCAGGATAAACTCTTCAGTGCTGATCCACAAACAACAGTAAAAGGTGTGGCAGATCTCAACTATGAAAGGGAATTCCCAGTGCTGGTGCAAAATTATGTTTGCACTGGAAATGCAAATTGGGAATTTTCTGGGAAAAAATTCACCAGCATGGATGCTCTAGAGATAAGATCATCTGCAGATGATGAGGATCCACATATCTTATCACATCCTGTGCTCCACTCTCCTGGAGATAAAAGATTGTTCATCTTCCCCAAGTGGCAGAATAAGACTGGAGCATGTAGACAGTAAAGGAAAGAAAACCTAAAAATCTCCAGCTTTGAGGTTCCAAATTGCTCTGATGCTGCTGGATCACAATCCAGCTAAGTGGGAGTGGTTATGGAAAGAGGACTCAGTCCCATCCCTGGCAGTGTCCAAGGCCAGGTTGGAAGGGGCTTGGAGCAACCTGGTCTCATGGGAGGTGTCCCTGCCCATGGCAGGGGCTTGGATCTTTAAGGTCTCTTCCAACCCAAACTATTCCATGATTCTGTGGTTCTGTGGGGTGCCTTTGGTGAGCCTGAAAGGTCAAAGCAGCAGATGCTGGCCTGGTATGAGGAGTCAAAGACAGCCAAGACCTCCTTTTTCCCCGCCCTTGAGAAATCTAGAGCTGGACACGGGGTGTTTATCCCCAAAGGACATGGCACCCTTGTGTGCACCAGCTCTGCCACGGCTGATCCTGACTGGGGCAGCCGCAGGGAGCAGCAGAGACACAGCCAGTCACAGCAGAAATTCAAAGGGTGTTCCAGCAGCAAGTGACTCTCCATGCTCCGGGAATAGCATCCATATGAATATTCACCTGTCTTAAAATGACCTCTGAATCCACTGACCACAGATCTCCTCTGGCTTTTCCAGAGAGCTTCTTAGTTACACAAACAACATTTATCAGTCCACTGGGTGTTTTCTAAACCCAAGCCCTCCTATTTGTTATTCTTGGTTGTTTTTCTTTTCCCTTTATCTACCCGAGCAACATTACCTTCAGGTCTGTTTTTCTTGCCCACAATTTTTGATCCACTTATAACTTTTAAAATAATATCTTTCATCATAAACTCGAAGAAAGAGTTTTCAAATAGTCTCCAAATTATAGCCCAAATTATAGAGTTTGGGGACACATTTCCTGGCATTCTCATCATTATGCCAAAATACAAAAAACTATGAAATTGTGAAAATTGTGAAGCAGTGTCTGCATTTGTCACAAAATTCTAATTATTTATATATACCTATATATTTAGCTCAGCTTATTTTATATATATATCTCTACAGATAGATAAAATATATAAAATAGCCTGAGCTAAAGAAATTTTCTGACCGTGTTTTTAAAAGTTTGCTAAAAGTTCTCCAGATGAACATTGTTTAACAGCAAATATTGTGTTGCTTCACAGCACAGAAGTCTCTTCTCTCCCCTCTTTCCTGCTTGAGCTCTTTGTTGTTCATTAACTGCCTGTGCTGAGTAGTTTGTTCCATTATCCAAACTCCAGATCTGTCCTCACCAGACAATAGCCAGCTCTGCTGGCAGATGAGTGCATTTTGGATCTGGTATTCTCTATTCTTACAGCTTTACCTAATGGAAATTTGTAACGTGTAGTAATCCAACTTTAAAAAAAAATACAAGATGATGTAAGGAAAAATATTTAAATTTTTAGGAGAGTAAACACACTGAATAATTCTCTTGCAGCTTCTCCAATTCTCAAAGTTTTTACTTTGGAACACACTCCACTAGTAAAATATATTGGAAGTTAAGTGTGTTAAAAGGATTCAGTAATCTAAATACACCTCTGAGTGTTTTCCAAAATGTCTTACTTGGGACCAGCCAAAGTAACTAAAAATATGGCTGTTGACTTAAGCAAAGTTTGGATGAAAATCCTAATGTGTGACTGGTTTGCTTGTCTTAGTGTAAACCAGACTTAATACTGAACATGTTAAAGGGACATCCTGCATTTTCATCCTCCCTTCTTCCTCCTCAGCCTTGTACTATCCATGGCTGGGCTTTGTGCTTCATTTGATTGTGTTGCCTTTCTTCCCTTTGTGCAATGAGAAAGACAGGGATTTATCCCACTTAATTTTGGATACTTAGCAGAGGCTTCCAAGCCTGGAGCCTCAGCATGGCAAAGAACAGCTGGGTGTCTCTGGAAGCAACTCAACAGATCTAGAGGTTGAAGTGCCTCTCTTTGTCCCTCGTTCTCTGTGGACTAGAGAGCAGCCAGTGGAAATGGGTTCTCAGCTTGGTCCCTCAGTGCAGGACCTGCAGCCAGGCAGGAGAAATCCAAGTTCAGGCATGCAGCCCCACCCAGTATCCACTGGGAACACTGGATGGCCACTGACTCCATCACACACTGCCCCCACCACATTTTTCCTGTGAAAACACCTCTCCAAGAGCACGGCAGGGTCAGCACAAAGTCACAAACATCCAGACCCTCTTCACAACCTTATCAAACAAGCAGCACTCTCTTTCAATTTTTTTTTTCTGAGCAGGGAATCCACACCTTGTTATCCAGAAGAACAGCCAGGAGAGAGAGCAGCTGGCAGGGACGCCAGCTCTGAGCCTCCCCTTCTTATCTCCAAGAGCACGGCAGGGTCAGCACAAAGTCACAAACATCCAGACCCTCTTCACAACCTTATCAAACAAGCAGCACTCTCTTTCAATTTTTTTTTTCTGAGCAGGGAATCCACACCTTGTTATCCAGAAGAACAGCCGGGAGAGAGAGCAGCTGGCAGCTCTGAGCCTCCCCTTCTTATCCTCAGAAAGAGTTAAAAAACATAATAAAAGCAATTCTGTGGTTTGTCTTTGCCAGCTCTTTGCTGGAGGAGGCACCTCGGTGCTGTGGATTCAGGATGTGCCCCGTTGAGATCAGCTCTGCATGCGCACAGCCCCTCTGCTGCTGCTCCCCCCAGCCTTGGGCTCAGACTCAGTTCCCCCTCAGCCCTCCCTCCCCAGGCACTCCATGCTAGTCACTGGGAAATGAATGGATTTGCTTTCCTTTCCTCTCTAGTTCTCTCTCACAAGGCAGAACAGCTGCTGCCCTCTCTATCCCCAGGGGGGTCTCCCCACTGCTCCTCCAGCCAGAACATTTGTAGGTGGATGTGAAAGAAAAAAGAAACAAAATTCTGAATATTTTCCAATGACAAACAGTGAAATCAGAGCATTTAGAAACTATAGTCTCTGTTATTCCATTGCACAGAAATTTCTGATTGATTTGTAAAATTTATATGATAGAGACTTGACCCTGCCTGGTTTTGCTTTTGTAGCTTGCGGAGTTACTGACTGATGGACAAGGAGAGCTACATCCCCCTTCACAAATGGCCAGGTTTAAAGCCTTGGTTAGAGGAAGGAACCAGTCATCAGGATTTTATGGAAGCAAAAGGGAAAAACCAAGCTTAAGTGCTACCAAAACCAGACCTCCCGTGTTTAATGGCAGTTGGACCTCTCGAGGAAACCACTTGGGCAGACACCCTGTCCCATGTGGTTGAGCTGTTCCCTCTGTCAGTGGTTTCAGAGGAAAAGATCACATATCACACTTGCAGACAGAGCCTTCTGGAGTCAATAAAATTATTTGCTCTTCTTCCCCAGAATGTTTTGAGTTAACCCATCAAAATTTCCAAAGCACTGGCAGGATGGGATAGCTGCACGCACCAGGAGAGAGGGAGGTGAGCAGCAAACTCACAGAGTAACACGAGGGTGAATGATACTGAGCTGCCCAGGAATCACTTTAATATCCAGTTTTATTCTCTTTTAAAAACTTGACTCATGTTCTGAATTAACTGTAATGTCAAATTACAGTATGCAAAACCATATTGCTGTTTTGCCTAAGTTATTTTAGAAGAGATGTTGCATTTGCAGTTTTATGCCCCAAATACCCTTGTGACTTCAAACAGGCAGAAGACTTCAAATTAACTCAATTTACAAACTGCAGTCAGGAATATCCTGAAAGAAAGGGCCAAGGAAAATAAGTGAAATATTTGTTCTTAGGAGATCAGGTCAAGTAAGTGACCAGAAGGAATTTCCATTTATAGCACTGTGTGTCCTGCAGTGGCTGTAGCACTGTCCCCACTGACAGTGGGATGATTTCAAGTTTAGAAGTGTATTTATCTTTTTTCTCTCCTATTATTCTGCAACAAAAACAGCAAAATGACATTTTGAGGAGGAGGAGGAGTTGTGGCCAGGCAGTTTTTAGGCAGCGTGATGTGAGCATCTGGTCAGGAGAGAACTGGAACCTGCACCCCAGTTACCTGTAGCTGCCTCACATTTTCCTCCAGTTTAGACGTGAGAATTCAGGATTTGTCCAATTTTTTCCCAGAAATGCACAGAAAGGGCAGTTGGGATTCTGCCAGGCAGGATCTGAGCACTCTACCTAACGCAACAGGTACTGCTCACACATTTGGGGATTTCTCCTGCTGCCACCTCTCTGCTCCCATGAGTTTTCAGTGCAGCCATCACCAGTATACACAAACCATCAGTTAAGTAATGAAAATTAACAACACTCACAGAAGCCAAAACAACACTGATGTATGCACATTAATCAACATGTCACCTTAGAGACCCTCAGAACCACTAAAGATCATAAAACTGCCAGTGATTTCAGCATTAAATTGGCATCAAAAGCCACCTTTCAGCAACTTGGAAGTACAAAACTAAGCATAAGCAGAACTGATCATGACCAGAATGTCCTAAAGCTCCTAAATGAGGGTGGGGAGGAAGGACCATCCCTATGACATTCTGGTTATCAGTCAGGACTGGATTCTCTCCTACAATAAACAGTCGAGCTCTCCGAGGTTACCAGCACCGACAGAACCCCTACATTTTTAGTAAATTACAGCTGCTACATTTCTAGTCTAAAAAAAAAAAAAAGAAAAGAAAGGAGGAATTCAAAGTTTCTACTTACAGCATTAAGCCCCAGGGAGTTTCCTGGGAGAGAGGAGGTGACTCCTGAGAGAATGGCCGTGGCCACCACTGCCCCCAGGCACTGGGCGAGGATGTACATGAGCGCCTTGAAGATGCTGATCTGGCAGCTGAGCAGCAGCCCCAGGGTGACAGCTGGGTTCAGGTGCGCCCCACTGATGTGGCCCACGCTCTGTGCCATGGTAGCGATGGATAACCCAAAAGCCAGAGAAACCTTCACGTTGTCCTGAGACCTCGTTGACGTTTTGTTGGCCACCACGGGGAAGTTGAAGCCCAGAGCCGAGCCAATGCTGATAAAAATGAAAAGGCTCATGGCCAGGAACTCAGCCACCACTGCCCTCCAGAATATTTTCTTTCTGAATTCACTAGCCATCTTTACTCTTTCTTTCTCTCTCTCTCCCCTCCTCACTTTCCCTTCTCCCTCTCTCCCTTCCTTTGCCTGATATTTTCCCTTTGAGGTCTGAAGAGAAATCTGGAGGAAAAATACAGTCCTTGGATTATTTATAGGGCTTTGGGTGGTCTGTAGGAGGGAAGGGGTGTTGCACAAAAGGAGGAAAGAACATCTACATAGATGCTGACTGCTAGATTGATGTAAGACACTGTTTGCCTGCCAAAGTTTTTTTCTTCCTTTTTTTTTTTTTTTTTTCTTTTCCCCTCCCTTAACGGCATTCGATCTCTGCCGCCGTTTTTAAGAGGCTTTTTAAAATTCTTGGAAAAATCTTTAGGAGAGCCTAAGGAATTTCAGCCTCACTTCTTTAACTCCTGTGTCATCTTTCAGCGCGTGGATGGAGATGAAAGCTTTGATGGGATTTCTGTCTGGAGCTGAAACAGAAAGCAAAGTTATCAGTGCAGGCTGGTAAGTTATTCACGCTCAGCTTCAGTGGCAGCAGATAACAGCTGAAAGTAGTAAATAAGACTGACAGCTAAATCCACACTCCAGAGGCTTCAGTAGCTCTGTTTTGTTTAAAAAAAAAAAAAAGGTAGAAATGTCCCTTTTGCTGGCTCTGTGGACTCGGAGATGATTTGGATGCCAAGTCTGGCGGCTGTACGGACACTCTTGGATTTACACAGCTCACACGAGCTGGTGTTCACTCGTGAGGGATCATTTTTAATCTCTGTGTAAATCTGCCATAACACTGTGGTAAGCTGGAAGCTTTAAATGCATGTAATTTGGATGCCAAGGATGACTTTTTTTTTTTTTTAATTTATGTCGTTTCTTCACTTTTCTGCTTCCAAGCACGGAGGCGTCTCGGGGTTTCCCCAGCCTTCCCCTTCTGACTGGCAGGAAAAAAGCCAATCTGGGGGCTTCCTAGTCCGGGTCCCACAGTGGAAGCCCATCTCTCACCAGCCTGCTGAAGGTCAGCTCAGCTGTCCTGGCTGTCACCAGGGAGACTCTGCTGCCGCTGAGCCACAGGACTGGACAGACAGACAGACAGAGGGGACAGCAAGGGAGAAGGGAAATTACATGCTTGGTTTTGCAGACAAAATGAACCTCCCGGCAGTGCCAGAGCCTCTCGGAGCAAAAGGTCTCAGTGCCTGGCTTTACCTCCGCGGGGCTGGGACACACGGCTCAGATTAACCCCTGAGCTCTCAGGTCCCTGCCCGCTCCACAGCTGCGGGTGTCTCCAGTAAATCCCGGGGTCTGCTCTGACTTCAAACTAAGGGAAAGCTGTTCCAGAGGCAGGAGGTAATTCCCCAGGCACAACTCTTGAAAGATGGGTGTTTAAAAGCAGCCTACTTCTCTGCCTCCTCTTTTTTTCTCTTCTTTCTTTAATGCACTGGTAACATCTTCTGAATTGTTCTTAAATTAATTCAAGGCTTTTTCATGTGGACAATATGCCAGGAAGAAGGAAAAAATTGAACACACACCTGGCTAGAATCAGACAGCCAATAAGGGGGGTTTTAAAATATATTTGGTTTTCAAAAGATGATTCAGTGACAAAGCTGAAAATAGTTTAAATAAAAGCCCAGATGTCTGCAGCTTGACATACCCAAGTTCTTATTCTTTCTAGGCATCAGATGTTCTTGATTTTTCACATAGCCAATTTTATTTCCTTTTTGTTTTATGATAAACTTACACAACAGGACTGTACCAGTGAAAAAGGAAAAAATAAAGAGTGGGACTTCAATGAGGAACAATGTGACAGACAAATCAAAAATCAAATTTAGCCAAATAGTGGAATTTTAACATAAGATACAGTTGATTGTAGTTGTATCCTGTCCAGTGGAACTTTTTATTTACTTCAAACACTATCTGAGACAAAGATCCCCAGTGATCAGCTTCCCTGGTCCTTCCAAGAGGGTGCCCAAGACCCAGGCAGAACATGCATCACACACCCCAGGGAAGTGAGACAGCAGAGCTCCGTGAATAGTTTGCAAAAGTTTCCATGTGTCCCAAACTGGCCTCTGTGGGATGGAGCTGCCCAGATAGTCACCCGTGTCCACAGGAAACTCCCTCTTTACTCACCTCTTCCTACAATTAGGAACTGGATGACCAAGCCACCTCTGTATCAGTACTGATAAGGTGAGGAAGAACCCCTCCAAGGAAAACTTTCAGGAGGTGGGAAAACAGACTGGGGAAGTATTGCAAAATGCTCCCCTGATTTCTGCAGTCTCCTCACGGTCTCCCTGACTGGCCTGTGCCACAGACAGGACCCCAGGAAAGCCAGACCTTCATGTGAAGAACACAAACATTAAATGTACCTCAGGAGGAGAAGGTTGGGCCCCACCTTGGTGTTGAACCCGTTGGTCATCTCACACTTGCATTTTCATCCTGGGACTCTCCATTTGTCTCTTCATAAATGTTACCAACCTCTCTTGTTGTATTTTGGAACTTGGTGCCACAGTAAATCAACAAAACGGTCATTCAGATAGAAAAGGAAAAAAAAAAATCTGAAATAAATTAAAGACAACCACAGGGAATATGCACAAATAAAAGAGAGGAGAGACTTTTCCTGTACATAGAAAAACCGCCAAGTGAGGAAACAGAAAGGGATGGCAACAAAACAAATACTCTGCATAAATAGAGAGAATTGTGGACAAATTAAATTATACAACAGTGTGAGTGTAATAAGGAAAAAGGGGAGAGAAAATGTGAGTAGAGAAAGCACACATCAGTTGGACTTCTTCGGAAATGGCCACCACAACACAAATCTAACTGGTGCCCAACGCACTACGTCACTTTTCCAAAAACCAAGCTCCATCCCATGTTACTCAGGCTGATGGCAAAGACCCCGGTGCTTGGTAAAGAAACTAAAGCACACTCAGACCCCACAACCACCAGAAGCCCTCAAAAAGGGGCAAAAATCCAATTTCCTGCATATCAGTTAAGCTGGGGTTTGTGCAGACAGCTTTTCTGGGCATGGTTTTAGATTATCCACCACACTTGAAGGTGAAGTTTGGATTTTTCCAGAAATAGAGATGATTGCCAAACTTAAGTCAGTGTTTAGGACAAGCAATTAAGAACAGATCTGTTGGAAACAAGAAAGAAAAAGGAGCTTTTTATCTGAGGGGTGTTTCTTCACAGATTACTTAGACCAGAGTACTCCCAACCTCTCTTTGATTCTGTTACACTAGAGACAGCTGAATGAAAAATCAAGCTCACAGTAATGGGTTTTTCATTGCCAAGATCTCAGGGCTGACTCCTTTTTTGCATGAAACAAATCAGATTTTGGAGGGATATAGCACAAATGTCCCTTAAGATTTCATTCAGAAAACAAATGTATTTATTGAAGTGGTAGGCTTTGTTCTGGGATCCCACCCATCAGATTGCTCAGGATCTCTGCTTTTTGAACAAGAAACAAATGTCAGAGACTTCAAATTTGGTCTTGGCTAACATGAAATCTCTGGGAATTTCCCTCTTAGGTGAAGGAACACTCAAAGTCTAAGGGCAGAAGGAATGTACATAAGTCCAGCAGTCAAATGATTGAAAGATCCAGGGGAAGTTCATCAAAATACAATTACTCCTCTCTTGAGAAGATTAGTTACACTGCCACCCTGCCAGATGAGTCTTTTAGCAGGCAAGCAGCAGTTCTAGGAAGCTTTTTTACCTCCAGTTTCAGAGACAACAGAAATTCCCACTTCTGCCCATGGACTTTCACCCCTCTGAGCCATCACCACTCACCACCACTGAGGACAGCAAAGCCATGGATCAGGGAAGAGCCAGGAGATCCATGTATCCTGCCTAAAACATCTCAGAAATTGGGAGGATTTGGGCACTGATGGGTAGAATGAAAACATACAGAAAGTTGTTGTTCACAGGTGGAGTCTCCTGTAAGAATAACACATACAAACTTCAACAGATTTGCACCAACACTCAGGAGCTGCCTCCTGGTTTCAAATAACTTTCTGGATAGAAGCAGAACCTCTCCAGGCTGCTGATGTAAAAAGTAGAGGGTGAAAACTAAGACAAGGTAAAGATGCTTGGAGATTTCTCTGCAGGAGCTGCCTGATCACAACCAACACCTGTCAGTGTGAGCAAACTGGGAGGGGCTTTAGATTGAATCCCTGATTTAACACTCCTAAATGGGGGGAAGATGGAATATTTCACACACTTCCCCCTCTCCAGGGAATTCACTACCAGCCAGTCTCAGCACCCACGCGTGCTCCATCTGCCAGCTGATGAAAATTCTCTCGTGAGATGCTCAGCTGGATTTGCTCCCTGAGTGATGATCCAATTTGGTTTTGATTTAGTCTCAACCCTAACTGTCAGGGGTGTCAGAGACATGAGAGGGGAGGGAGGGAGTGTACAGGTGACACTTGCAGGGGGCAGCCAGGAGTGGGGGAAGCTTCATCTCTGGGGAGGCTCAGCCTGGAGCACCTCACATGAGGCAGTCAGAAGGAGACACTGTGGAGGGGCTTCTCCAACCAGGTCATGAAAAGGACTCCATCAATGGGTGGCAAAAAAAGGTGGGACTGGGCCAATGGTCTCTGCTGTCACTGGGGCTTGCTGCTGTTTTTTGTCCCATTTACTCCCTCCTTTGTCCTGTCCTTCTGACTCTCCTGCCATGGCTGATTCTTTCTCACCCTCATGCGTGTCCTGCCTCTTTGTATCCCTGACCAACGCCCTGCTGCTACCTGTATCTTATTTCCCAAAAAGCATCTCCTGTGGGAAAGCTGCTTGGGTAAGCATTCAGGCAAAGCAAAATTCTAGAAAAGTCCATACACACCACACTCACCATGGCTAGCTCAGCAAAGAGAGGCAGAAGGGCTTTTATATGGTCAGTTCCAGAGAGGTTTATTTCAGTATGCAAAGGGGAACAAAAGACAAAGGCCATGTACTGTGCACAAGCTTAAGGATGGGAGGGCACACGGGTGGTACAAAGGGCAGCAATCTGCAGCAATCTGCAGGGGGGATGAATAATTGGGGTGGGCAGGATCAACTGGCCAATGGGAAAAGCAATCTGATGTAGATTGGCAATAGGGTTGCAGACCACCATGACAAAGTCCTTTCTGTCTGCCCAGGTGGGGAGAGACTCTAT